ACATTCATATGACCATTTCCAAACTTTCTCCTTCTTCAACAGTTCGTTTAGGGGTGCGCGTAATTTGTGCATGTTAGGAATGAATTCTTGATAATAATTTACTAAGCTCAAGAAGCTTTGTAACTCAGCTAAATTTTTTAAAGCCGGCATTTTTTTTTATTGCTCTCTCCGGGTCTGGTCTTCTTCCTTCTTCGTTAATAATATGGCCCAGATATTTTATCTCCTTCATAAAGAAGTCACATTTATTTTCCTTTACCTTAAAACCGTAATTTTGTATCTGCCTGAAAAAATCTTGAACGTGTTCCCAGTGTTGTTCAATATTTTTGCTATTTATCACGATGTCATCAAGGTATGCAATCGTGAAATCCAGTCCGCCTAGCATAGTGTCCATTATTTGCTGAAATATCGCCGGTGCGACCTTGATCCCGAAAGGTAATCTCTGGAACGTATATAATATTTATCTCTGTTTATGCACAACAACCTCGAGCTTTCCTCATCTACTGGTACTTGTAGGTATGCCTCGCTCAAGTCTATTTTTGAGAAAAATTTTCCTCCGTTCAACTTTGTGAAAACTTCCTCTGAACAAGGGAGAGGATAGTGATAATCCTTAATCGCTGCATTCAATCCCGTCGAGAAATCAGCGCATACTCGTATCTCACCTGATTTCTTTTTCACGTAAACCGTAAGTGCGGCCCATTGACTATATTCCACCTTTGTCAATATAACGGTTTTCACGAGTCTATCCAACTCTTCGTCTATCTTTTCTAATGATGCGAAAGGTACATTTCTTTTCTTCTTGAAAATAGGTTTTATATTTTCTTTTAGTTCGATTTTGGCCGTCATTTTTTTACACCTCCTTTGGTCGGCTGAAAATACGTCGCGGAAACTCTCCTTTAATTTCTCCTTCAATTTCTCTGCCTCGGTCGATAACCTTTCCACTTTTTGGCAGAACGTATTTATCGACAAATCCCACAGGTCAAATTTATGCATCCAGTCAGTTCCAAATAAATTTTCCGTATTTTTTAGAACATACATCTTTAATTTCTTGGTTATCCCGTTGAACGTCACATTTGTGATAATCTCCTCCTCAAATTTGATTTTTCTTCCTGTTACCGACCTGGCTATTTTATATGTTCTCAACATGGTCGGTTTGTTTAATTTCTTCCACGTCTGTAAGTTAATAATGGTTAAATCTGATCCGGAATCTAATTGTAATCTGATTTTTTGGTTTAACATTTTTACTTGTACGTATTTTCGTATATTTATCCCGTCCGCTTGGTCAGTTTTAGTGACTCTTACTGGGCTTTTGTTTTGTTTCTTGGTTCTACAGTGCGAACTTTTATGTCCCACTTTATTGCACGACAGACAAGTCTTATAGCGGTATGGAAAATTTTTGTACCAATGTAAAGTCCCACGGCGATAGCATGGATTGGGTGGTGGTTTCTTCTGAGGTTTCGTTTGACATTTTGTAGTAAAATAATTGGTTTGGTTTGTTTTTGAGGAGGGAGAAAAACGTGTTTGTCATTGTACTTTTTGTATGTGAGCGATGCCAGTCTCTTCGATATCTTTCGAGTCCTTTTTTATGCTTATACATCTCTGACAGTCCTCAGCCAATTTTTGTAGCGTCAGTTTTGGTTCACTCTCAAGTTTTGTTAGAATTCTCCGTCTGATCTTCGCATCTTTAGTCGAAACCAGGCCTTAGACGAATATCAAACTTTTAAAATTGTCAGGGCTGAGTTCAAATAACTTAAAGTCATCGCAGTGTTTGTTTACTACGGAAGCGAATGTTATATAGTCTTTGCTATCCTTTTTTGTTAAATTTAAACATTTCCACTTTTTGTGGAATAGTTCACGGCTTTCCTGAAAGTCAACTCATTCGTTTTCCTCGGTAGGATGTAGTCTACCAATTTAGTGTATTCGCTTGACCCTAGTTTCCTCAGTAGTAGACGTACTTTTTTCGCGTCTGAACAATTCCCGCAGTCAAACTCATATGAATCTTCATATCTTCTAATATAAGCCGCGAAGGTTTTGTCTTCGTCCGGTGCATAAGTGAAGTCTTTGATTGAGCTCCATATAGCATTTTGTGAGAATTCCGCTTCATTTTTAGAATTTTGTCCTATATTTGTTACTGCCCGTAGTAGTAATTCTTGTAGTTCGAGTTGTTTTTCTTCTTTTTTTTCTCTTTAATTTCTAATTGTTTTTCTTCGAGCCTAATCTGTCTTTCCTCATTTTTTTTTTGCTGCTCGAATTGCATTTTCATTAGTTCCAATATGATTGCCTTAAAGTCTTCCATGTTTACACCGTAATTTAATAATAACACAGGCTATCTGTTGTCACGAGAACAGGAGGGAAAAAACTCACTTTTCCCCTTACTTTTTCTTTTCGCAATATGTACTTTGTAGCTAGAGTTGTGTACTTGTGTAACGATTTTTCCTTTTTTCTCAGTGTAGACTTCAGGTCTTTGTCGTCTGTTGTTCTGAAGCCTTGGTACGAAAAAAATTTCTTGCGTAGAATTCGATCCTATTCTGGGTGACAGGTAAAATTCGTGTCTTCGTTATCACTATTATGGTTGGGGTCGAAAAAGTTTTTTATCTTTTATCTTCGCGTAGAACTTGTTTTTTTTTCTCTCATTATCTCCGTCGCCTCTGTTATGGACGACCGATACCAAAAAGGTTTTTTTTTTTTCAATTTTTTTTTATATGCTCCGCGTAGAACTCGTTTCTTCAATATTCTCGTCACCACTGTTATGGTCCAGGTTAGGACCAAGGAAGAACAACAGGAGTAGGAAAAAAACGAAGGTATATTACATGAAATAATAATACAAAATGTGGAAGGTGTTAGTATGACTGTCATTCTGGTTTGGAGTGAACTACTATCGGCTTGACTCGATTCGATCCTCTGCCTTGAGAGGCGTTATATACATAGTGTTAGGAAGAGTTCATTCTGTAGTTATAGGTAAGGATCCATGACAGTAAATGAGGGCAACAAATATTTGTTATTTATTTTGTCCAAATAGGTTGGTTTGGTTTGGTTTATTTTGTTTTACGAAATATCAACCTCAATGGGTTATTTAATGCCGACAACATTTTTAGGATAGATTCGTATGAATAGAATATGTATTCTTTGGTTTAGATTGGTTTCGTATATTTTGTTTTACGAAATATCAACCTCAATGGGTTATTTAATGACGACAAAATTTTTTATTGCTGGTAATATATTGTTTTGTCAAAAATGTGTTTCTGGTAATATATTTCCTTCAAAATTGTATTGCTAGCAATAATTTTTTTCAAGGAAGTATTCCTGGTAATAGTTAAATATTTGCCCATAGCTGGGACCCTAACAGGTGCTACTACCCTGGGTCAGGGGCGGACCTGTGAACACCAGCAATTAAGAGGTGGTTCAACACTCCTCAAAACCTCCTGATCAGAGACTTTATGTAGTTTATCGTCTTACCCAGGACGTCAAATAGGTTGAGAGAATTTATGGCCATTGATCCTATATATTTATTAATTTATTATTAATTCTTTTGATGAATTTCTTCATTTCCGTTTCATACTTTTCCCTCTCCTCCCCTTAGATAAAATTCAGAGATAAGAGTTCTCCAGAAATGGAGGAAATTATTTGTTTTATTTATTTATTTTTGCATATAGAAACAGTTCCATCATCTTTCCGAGGAACGCATGGTAATTCACAGATAATACAGAAAATGAATCTTTGGAGAGCGATGATAGCCGATGTGCTGACGGGACAAGTTATTTAAAAAGAAGAAATCACAGTATTCTCTCATTTTCGACTTGTGTATCAACCAATCTAAAAGAAGGATTAGATGAAATTGAAAACCGTCGAGGAGAGGGAAAACCACTCCACTAATTAGTCATAATCTAAATTCAAATGGGGGGTGGTGGTGGTGGTGGAGAAGAGAACGGGAAACTAGTAAAATATATCTTCCAAGAAATCATGGCATTTCAGAAATCCTTATCATTCCCAAGAGTTCATGACAATTTACAGACAATGAAGAAAAGAAATCTTTAGAGAACCTTGATTGGAAAACGGAATTCAAACGAAGAAATGAAAACTTATCCTATTTTTAAGACTTAGCAAACAGTCGAAGCGGATGACTACTGTAAATTTACAACAGTATAAAAAGCCACGGGAAACCACTGCACTTTTTAGCAAATCACTGAGAATAAAGAAAAAGACATCTTAGGAGAGCCATGATCACCTACAGCCTTAAGTGATATGGCTTTTAAAAAGAAAAAGAACACTAAACAATCCATGTTTTGTATGCATTCTAACAGAAGGACCACTTTAAATTTATAATAGTGGAATGTTCAACGGGAAACTACTCTATTGTTTCCCAAGGATTCATGGTAATTCTTTTAAAATAAAAAAGAGGAGAGACATGATGATGTAATGTGACCAGGGTTCGTACTTACTACTTTCAAATCCACCGACTGGAGGCGAAAAAGTCTAATTGATGCCCCCCCCCCGGGGCAGTGCATTGTAACCATCGTTATCTTATTTGTGTTTTTCTACCTAGATTTATATATGTTACAAATTAAACTAAGCACAACCGACTATTAAAGGATCTTTTTTTTTCGTCTAAATCCATGAATTTGTTTTGCTCATGACAAGTCTCGAAAAAACATTATATAAAATTCACTATTTTTTATCCATAATGTTGAATGTGTTAAGTTATTCAACTTTTTAAAAAGAAAAATATCAAGTTGTTGTAAAAAGATTGCCGCAAAACATTGTCGATTTATTTAAGATGGAATGAACTATTATGACATGTCTCTAATTTGTATTTAGATACATTGTATTTTTCAATTTTTGTAATTGAATTGTTCATCTATATTGTATATGATCAATTACTGCATATTATTAGATTAAAATAAAAATGTGTATTTAAATGTATACAACCTTATGAAAAGTGAGATGTAGTAGAGTCGTTGACCCGTATCAATAATTTGGGTCGGGGGGACACGTGACCCTTGCACCAGTCCTGGATGTGGCTTTTAAAGAAAAGAAGAAATCAAAATTTCTGTAGCTGAAAAAATAAATTTAATTTAAAAGGTAGAATGCATAAAAATGTTCGCTGACTTTTGAAGGTGGATATCAAACAATTTAAGAGACGGAGTAGTCTAAATTCAAAAGCAAAAAGAAAGCAACAGGAAGCTACTCCATTTTCTTCCCCAAGAAGTCATGTCAATTCACGGATAATAAAGAAAGCGAATCTTTTGAGAGCTATGATTGCCTACATCTTGAAAAGATATGTCATTCGAAAAATATTCAAAGCAGCCAAAAAGTATTTTTAATTCATTTATACAATAGACTATGAGAAATTTGATTTCTATTAAAAATATTGAAATTTGTTTGATTGATCGTTCAGAAGATACGAAAACTCGTTTTATAGACTGGGTTGGCAATAAGTGGCCAGGCGCTTATGATGAAAATTAAGGATAGCTGAACACGCAATATTCTGTAATAAAAATACTTGGTACTTGTCTCTCAAAGAATTCAAACGTTGGGCGAAATTGCTTGCCTGTCATGTGACTTTCCTGACGTCCTATATCGGCGTTGTATAAGACATTAGAAAAGAAAACTCTCTCTGTCTCTGTCTCTCTCTCGTTATATATATATATATATATATATATATATATATATATATATATACAGTGGTGTTCGATAAAAGTGACTCACCTTATCCTTTGAATTTAGCTCAACTTTCGTTTCATCGGAGAAGAGGACATTCTTCCAGTCTTTTACGGTGAAATTTTTGTAATAGTGAGCCCATTCAAGTCTCTTGGCTTTGTTGGCTTTGTTTATTAGTGGCTTAAACCTTCGTGTACAAGATTTGTAGCCTTGTTCTAACAAGATTTGTAACCTTGTTCTGACGGACTGTTGAAGAGGCAAGACTAACACCTTGCTCTTAGCTTAGACTGGCTGCAATTTCTTGGCTAGTTATAGTCCTATTCTTCGCAACTTCTCTCTTGATTACCCTGACAGTTCTATCATCAATCTTTTTCTTTCGTCCCCTTGTTTCCTTTCTTGCAGCAGGAGTGGCATCATTATGTGCCCTAAGCACTCGAGAGACAGTTGATTGCGAGGTTATAGCAATTTCTGCAATTTCTCTTGTAGACTGTCCTGCTTTTGAGAGGGCAATAATAGATGCCTTAAGGGGTTCTGATGCGTGTTTGTACCTTTTCATCTGATTAGTGACTTGAGTGGCTATTTCAAGCTGTTTTTATACTGTATGAGGCTTTCTGGAATACTCTAGATTTAATTTAAGCTATTCTAGAATTCTCTAGAATATTGTTCTGAGTGTATTGTAAAATAGTTTTCAATATTTTGTCAAAAGCTCTTTAAATTTACCAGTTTAATCATTAGAATGCGATAATCTGAGTCACTTTATTTGCACCGTTTTTTTCCCCTGAATCTCATTTATATCCAAATTTATAATTATTAACAGAATAACTTAGGGTGAATAAACTTTTTTCCTAGGTGGTCGGGAAGGGGTCTTTATATTAGTAAGATTAAAAATTATTTTAACCCCTAAAACAATAGACAAAAAATATTTTTAGTAAAAAAAATCAGGTGAGACACTTTTATAGAACAACACTATATATATATATATATATATATATATATATATATATACACACACTGGTGAAAATAAGTTTAAGACGGGTGGTTAAAGTTTTATTCATTTCAGAATATGTATCTAATAAAACAAGTTTTATTGTTGACGCTTTATGCAGAATTTATTTCTCTTTCGAATGATGTAAAAGTTGTATATTTTTCTACAGCTTGAACAATTTTAATGTTGGATTAATTTAAATTATCCAAATTTGCAAGTTTTCTAACAACTTTAACAACTGGACCAATACCAAAGCTACTGAACGCACCCTACGCCATTACAAACCTGCCTCTCACTTGAGCCGTCTTTTTGACACATTTAGCATGGAATTCCTCAGTTGGGCGGCATCTGACAAAGGTTTTTCCATCCGATCCAAAGATGCAAAAGCCTGACTCGTGGTAGAGTATTACTGAATGAAGTGTGGCTTTTAGTAGGATTTAAAATAATATCCAAACAAAAGTGGAGATGATGCAACAAAACAGAAAAGTCATTCAGGTAAAGTAATTCGTTCTGTATGACAGGCAATTTTAGGTCGAAATTAAAGACAAACCCGTGTGTAAGGAAAGTGCGTTAGAATGTTATTAACGTATGTATATTGTTTAAAAGAAGTTACATAAAATTTAATAAAAACTCATTAATATTTGAACGGGTAAAAAGAAATATAAATAGTTCAAGTAATTTTAAACAAGCAATTGATTTTGTTTCTTTCTCCCTTACTGCTGAAATATATCTGCGAAAGTAATATGTCCACTTAGATTTAAAATAGATTTAAAATAATAGTGTCGTACCCTTTTTGTGGAGATCTGTGTAGCAAATGATGACAATACCAACAGTCAGCAATAACAGAACAAGGAAACACTTCATAATATTTGTCGTGTTCATTTTCCTGAAAGTAAAAATAGGCGTTGACAATTTGGGGTTCAATATAGTTTACTCATTCATGTTTCTAAGACAATAAAATTACATTCTGGGATACAAAAAGACGACCCAAGGCATTTTTTGAATATTCTTATGACAAATGCATAAACTATAAACATGTCGAGAAGATTCCACACTGCAACAGACACCGAAACGAAATAGATTAACATCACCACGTGAAATATTTGGCCCACCAGAGAAAACTAAAAAAAAGCCTATTTTTATCGGGTCTGAATTCGGGAAAACATTCTTATAAAACCCCGCAGATTTTGACTTTCAAAGAGCAAAGATGCAGTTGTCTCCAAGCCGAATAGAAGACGTGGCTATATAGATTTTTCTTTCCCACCAGCGTGTGCTGAAAGAAACACGTGTCGGTAGCTTCAAACGAATCATCACCAACAAAAATAGACATTTAATGAATCTTCGCTACCGATAAACCTCTTTTCTCAACTCAAGAATTTTCTTTGCACCAGCTTTTCTAAACTACAGATTTTTTAATTTGTTAACCAATTACATAAAGACTTGAATTAAACTTAAGATTATTTTACTCCTTTTTTAACAGAAAACTATAGATATATGCTAGCTTAACATTGACCTGTTTGTCTTTTTTTATCTAAATTAGAGTAACCCTTCACATAGAAAGTAATAGGTTAGATTAGATTTAAAATAATAGTGTCGTACCCTTTATATGGAGATCTGTGTACCAAATGATGACAATACCAACAGTCAGCAATAACGGAACAAGGAAACACCTCATAATATTTGTCGTGTTCATTTTCCTGAAAGTAAAAATATGCGTTGATAATTTGCTGTTCACTATAATTTATTCATTCATGTTTCTAAGATAATAAACTTATACTCTGGAGGCAAAAACGATCCAAGTCAGTTTTGCGTCATTCTTATAAGAAATGCATAAAAATCGCTGAATGAAACAAAAATAAGAAAATCTCTTTATAACGAATAATGAAATGTCATATCTTTCAATTTTCTTTAAGTATTGAAGTCTGATGTTGAGATTGTCAGAAAGCACCTTGTACCAGGAAATATCAATATGGTACCATTTCCTGCTTCTAGGTATGGTAAGATTTTGTTGTATTTACAAATTTTCTTCCAACTATCTATACTGAATAGATGACAATAAATTTGGATTCTTACCTGGTCCATCGATATATATATATATATATATATATATATATATATATATATATAAACAAATATATGTATTAAACAACACAATTTTACAATGGACATAGACAATAACATTTGTGTGTGTGTGTGAACATTTGTGTCTGTTCTTTGGTGAATGTTCGTACGTACGTGTATGTGTGTTTAATGTTTACGGCGCCCTCCACAAATGGGAAGATGCGGATTTTCTAAGAGAGCTTACCTTTTCCTCTAATCATTTTTGGTCCAGGTATTTGTGTGTGTGTGTGAGGGGGTTGTCTTTTTGCAGTATGGGCAGGTGCATTATTCTCTAATCCTTTTGTGCGTGTTTTTTTTTTTTTTGGAAGAGGGGAATTCTTTTCGCAATATCAGTTTTATCTTTTTGAACAAGATTTTTCACTTGCTTCCAGGATGATTATGAGTAAACTTTTTGAGAAATGTCTCTCACTCTTGAGCATTTAATTATTAATCATGTGATCAAACTTCATTTAGAGTAATTGCAAAAGACGGACCCAAGATCATGATACGACCACTTCCATCATGCTTCACAGTTTTTGATATGCAGTCAGGATTAAAATGCTTAACAGATCTACGGAGGTAACGTTCTGGAGCATTACTCACAAACTCAAATCTTGGCATCACTCCACAGAACTCACCAATATCAATCTGAATCTCAACTTCCATTTGAAGTGGTATGTATTGTTGTGGATTCCGGGATGAAATCCGGTACCAATAAATAACAACGGCCAAGAATGAATATAGGAAAATAATGTATTAATGTAATAATACAAACTGGTAATGAAGGTTAGTAGTTCCAGGAATACGGGTTAGTAGCAAAATATCTATACAGTCTTGGGTATTGAAGTATCGTTTTATGACTTCTTACTGGGTCTACGTGCTCGCTCATTGTGACTCTTGCTCGCTACGTTCGTTCTGTCTGTCTGTCGGTTACCTTCACCCTCTGTTGCTCACGAACCCCGGGTCTTCACGTAGTAGTAGTATATGTATATACTGGGTGAGTTCATTTGTGTAAAAAGTGGAGAACCCCTCAACATGTATATATAAGAAAGAGGCATTTATACTATCCTATATGTTCTCAATCAAAGGAGGATACAAAACGAAAGTAAAATATAAGATTGGCTGAAACTTTATGAAATATTTATTCCATAAAATGGGAATGAAATAATAAATATTTAGCTGTGGACAGAATTACGCCATTCGTCAACAGCAGAGTCTGAGGGTCTAGTTTCCTTACAACTATTTTATGCTGAATAGATGATAATAAATTTGGAGTGTCTCCTGGCCAATATATAATTTTGCCTTGTCCTCTAACCACTTCTCGTCTAAGAATTTCTGTGGCGGAGGGGGGTTCTTTTCTCAGTATGTGCTGCTGCATTATCCCCCAACCAGTTATTTACGGTTTGTTTTTTGTTTTTTATATTTTTAATTGCTTTTAATAAGATTACGTTCTTTTTCATTAAAAAGAAACCCACAAACTTGTGTTTCCAATAAGAAACTTTACAAATATTTTCTAGCATAACATTCTTTTCATCTAAATAATATTCTTTTCATCTAAATAATATTCTTTTCATCTAAATAAGAGAAATAATTCGAGCATTTAATGAACATTTTATGAAGAGGTCACTTCGTTATGAATTAAATATATTATATTAATTAATATTAATATGCGTTAATTTTCTAATAAATTAAAAGTAATTGAAAGTATCCACCTTTTATTTTATATTTTAAAAATTACGTAAAAATAAAAACAATTTCACACGCAAATCTTTCTTTCTTGATAGATAGATAAATAGATAGATGTGAATAGACTGAGATAGATTTATAGATATGAATAGTCTGATAGATAGATAGATAGATAGATAGATAGATAGATATAAACAGAATATATCTATCCGTATAAGTTAAAAACGTGAAAGTTTTAACAAACATTATTCTAAAAAGGTATTAAACAAATTTTTAAAACATCAAAAACTTATCTCCAGACGGGAAGTTTCATAGCAACCTGTCTGTTTATCAGATGTTAGATAAATCCTTATAATTTTGTTGAGGGGTTATCTCCTTTTTACACAAAGGGACTCACCCAGGGTATACATATACTACTGCTAGTGAATACCCAGAGAGCGAAGGAGAAAGAACGCGGACGAGCGACGAACGAGCACGAACATGAACGCAACAAGATAGATAGATAGATAGATACACACATACATACATAAATAATGAACGTAGATAGTGTTATGGTCCGATTCCTTGTACCACGGTGATAGTCCAAGGTAGAACCAATAAAGAAGAACTCGAAGGCGGATATGGAATAACACATATATATATTACAAACAGGAATATATACAGAGAGGTAGAAAGTGTTAGTACGAATAATCAGGTTTAGTAGTAATTGTCTGAACGCGACTCTGTTTCGGACTGCCTCTGACTCGCTCTGACTGACTGACAGACGCCTGACGAATCAGTTCTCTCTAAAGACGCTATTTGGAGTAATATCGAAGATTTCAAGTACGCATCCGACGAAGATAAAATTTTTTGCAAATTACTTCCGAAGGTATGAAGATCTATATGATTTTGACTGCAAAGATTGGTCAGACGCAAGTAAAGTACGCCTTTTATTAAGAAAATTAGGCACAGGCGAATATACCAAATTATATCCTCCCGAGAAAAGCAAGCGAGTTAACGTTCAAAGAATCTATAAAATTGCTAACGGAACTTTTCAGCCATAATACTTCACTATTTCATAAAAGATGGAAATGCATGAACCTTACAAAAAAGGATAGCGAAGATTACGTAACTTTCGCATCCATTGTTAATAAATATTGTGAGGACTTCAAAATTATCGGAACTCAGCGCTGACAACTTCAAATGCTTAATTTACGTCCAAGGGCTGGTTTCAACCAAAGTCGCAGAAATGAGACGTAGAATACTTACTAAATTGAAAAATGAACAAGATCTGACACTTCAAAAACTAACCGAAGACTGCCAGAGATGCGTCAGCATAAAAAAGACTCTAAAGACAAAGAATAAGCTGGCATAGCATACATACGCAAAATCCGAAGACAAACAAATTTTTCCTCCTCACAAACAAAGCAAACAAATTTTCCCTCCTCACAAACAAACCGAACTGATTTTCCCGCCTCAAGAACAGGTAAAACAAAATTTTCTAATTATAATCAACATAAAAAGAAACTATCACCAAGTTCATGCTATCGTTGTGGGTCTTGGCATTGGGTTAAAGACTGTACATATCGTGCTAAAACTTGTCTATCATGTAAAAAATTAGTCACAAAAGTTCTCACTGTTGGTATAGAAAAGAAAGCAGAATAAGAATTACGAGGACCGACCAAACAGATGAGACTAATATAAGAAAATATGTCAAGTTGAAATGCAAAACAGAAAAATTAGGTTTCAGCTGGATTCTGGCTCAGACTATCATAAATCTACAAGCATGGAGAAAACTGAACAAACCTGTCATGATAAAAACGGATAAAATTGCGAGATCAGTTACGGGGAGAAAGATAAATTTCGAGGGTGAAATAATCACAAACGTATCATTTAACAGAATGACAAAAAAAATAAAAATAAAAAATAAAAAATGTACGTCTTAAGAAATACCGAAAACCTATTCGGGACAGGCTGGATGCAAAAATTTGAATTGTGGGATCTACCCATTAGCACCTACTGCTAGAATGTAAAAAGCTTATCAACCGAGGCAGACAAATTAAAAGGAAAACTAAAAACGAGTTTCCCCGAAGTATTTTTCGTCAGGTCTCGGAAGATGCAAGAAAATGGCAGCTAATATCAAAATAAAGGATAACGTTCAACCTATTTTCAAGAAAAAAAGGAGTGTACCGTTTGCGTCAATTGAAAAGATTGACCAAGAATTATCTAGACTCGAAAATACGTGCATATTGAAAAAAGTAGAGTACAGCAAATGGGCTGCACCGACAGTCTACGTTAAGAAGAAATCAGGAGAAATTCGAGTTTGTGCTGATTTTTCTACAGGATTGAACGCAGCAATAAAGGACTACCACTATCCGCTACCTAGTCCTGAAGAAGTATTCACTAAATTAAATGGCGGAAAATATTTTTCAAAAATTGATCTAAGTGAGCCCTACCTGCAAATTCCAGTCGATGAAGAAAGTTCAAAACTATGATGCATAAACACACATAAGGGATTGTACAGATACCAAAGACTACCATTTATAATTAAAGTAGCGCCGGCTATTTTCCAGCAGACAATGGATACGATGCTGGCAGGACTAGAATACACAATAGCATATCTGGATGACATATTGATTAATAGCGAAAGCGTTGAACAACACTGGCAACAAGTACAAGAAGTGTTTAAGAAAATTCAAAGCAACGGATTCAAAGTGAAAGAAAATAAGTGTGATTTTTTCATGAAGGAAATTAAATATCTTGGCCATATAATAGACCAAGAAGGTAGACGTCCAGACCCTGAAAGGTCTACAGTAATAAAAAAAAGATGCCAGTTCCTAAGAACATAACAGAACTACAAAGTTTTCTTGGATTAGTAAATTACTACCAGGAATTCATACCTCAAATGCATAAACTTCGCGCACCATTGAACGAACTGCTAAAGAAAGAAAAAGTTTGGCAGTGGACAGATCAATGTCAGGAAACATTTAAAAAAATACTCAAGACATTAACATCGGAATTATTTTGGCATATTATGATCCTAAACTAGAGATTATTGTAGCAAGTGATGCGAGCGCCTACGGTGTCGGAGCGTGTATATTACATAAAATGCCAGATGGGGCAATAAAACCTATCGCACATGCTTCTCGAACTCTACTACCAGCGGAGAAAAACTATTCAAAAATTGAGAAGGAAGCTCTAGCAAGTATCTTCGCAGTAACAAGATTCCATAGATACGTCTATGGTAGACACTTTACTCTGCAGACGGATCACAAACCGTTAATAAAAATTTTTGGTTAAAAAAAAAAAAGGTCTACCGGTGTACACGGCAAATAGACTACTTAGATGGGGAACGATTCTTCTGAACTATAATTTCAGATTGGAATATTTACCAACGAAAAAAATCGGGCACGCGGATGGTCTGTCGAGACTTATACCAACAAAGACAGAGCCATTGGAAGATACGGTAATCGCAGCCCTTAGAAATGAAGAAGACATAAGAACAGTACTATGTTGTATAGTCAGAAACCTCCCAATCACGTTGCAAGACATAAAAAATGAAGCCGAAAATGACGACTTTATTAATGAAACAAAAGCAAAAATAGCAGAAAAAAATGAGAAAATTTCGGACAGCTTTTCTCTATGCGATAATGTGCTATTTTACAACGAAAGGGTTGTAATCCCCCAAACTTTACAAAAACGGATACTAAAGTATTTCTATAGAGGACACCCGGGTAAAAATAGAATGAAGTCGCTAATGCGAAGTTATGTATATTGGAAGAATATGGACCAGAATATTTCTCAAATGGTGGAAATGTGCAAGGGTTGTAATTTAGCAGATAAAGCACCGCCAATTATACATAATCCTTGGCCTGAAACTGATCGTCTATGGTCAAGAATACACGCAGATTATGCAGGACCAATTGACGGGTTCTACTATTTAATCATAGTTGATAGCTACAGTAAATGTCCGGAGGTGTTTCGGTGCAAAAATCCTACAACAGAAACGACCATAAATTTCCTCCACGAACTATTTGCTCGGTTTGGCGTAGTGGACTGTTTAGTAACAGATACTGGAACGCAATTCCCGTCAGCAGATTTCCAAGAGTTTTGCGAAATCTATCAAGTAAAACATATAAAATCCCCGCCTTACCATCCAAGATCAAATGGGCAAGCGGAGAGATTCGTGGAAACTCTCAAAAGAGCATTACGAAAAGCGTACGATGTGTCTACGGAGAAAGCATTACAGCAATTCCTACAGGCATATAGAATAACGCCAAATAATGCGACACCATCAACATTATCACCAGCAGATATCATGTTTGCTAGAAAAATCAGATCAGCGTTCGATAAATTACTACCAAGTAAAACAAAACAAGTAACACAGTCCTACACACCAAAAAGAAAATGCCTCCCAGGGGAAAAAGTTTTTTAAGGCATACAAAAATAATAACTCTTGCTGGGAACAAGGGATAATTGAGAAAAGAATTGGCAATATGATGTACATAGTTCAAGGAAAAAATTATCACACAGAAGATAAGTAAACCAAATAAGGAAGAGACCGTTACAGGATGCTAATGGTCCACCTCAAGAAGAGGTATTGGACACGATTTTCGACATATTCGATATAAAAAGACCGCAAACAATGACAGAACCAAGAAAATCGCCAAGAAAAAGAAAATTTACTGAACCTTTGGAAATAGATCCAAAGAAAAAAAGATGTTAAAAAAAATCCGCTACACAAAATTTTCGGAAGTGGGGTGTTATGGGACCTTACCCATAATAACATAATTGACTATACCATACGTAATAAATACTGCGCCTCAAGAGGAAGCAGAGAGTTCCGTCTGAAGTCTGGAGTGAAGTCCGTCAGGAGTCTGTCAGTCAGAGCGAGCGAGTCAGTCAGTCGAGTCAGAGGCAGTCCGAAACAGAGTCGCGTTCAGACAATTACTACTAAACCTGATTGTTCGTACTAACACTTTCTACTTCTCTGTATATATTCCTGTTTGTAATATATCTGTGTTATTCCATATCCATATTCGAGTTCTTCTTTATTGGTTCTACTTTGGACTATCACCGTGGTACAAGGAACCGGACCATAACAGATAGATAGATTGTCAGACAGACAGAGAGATAGCTAATGAACGGAACAAGATTGCTAGATAGATACATACATACATACATAACGAACATAGATAGATAGATAGATAATGAACGGAACAAAATAGCTAGATAGCTACATACATACATACATACATACATACATACATAACGAACATAGATAGATAGATAGCAAGTAAATTATTAAAATTTGATGTTTAATTTTTTAAAGACATTTTTCCCATTTAACTATCATATTTCCTCCCCAGAAAATTTCTCACTATAATGTTTAATCACGAAATGAAAAATGAAGCGAATCACATTGAAACATAAAAATAATAAAATATATTGCTTTTAATCAGAAAAAAATTACCTCCTTTTTTTCATTAAAAAAAACAACTCATAAATCTTTTGCGTTCTCTAAACTTACTGTAGGTCTGATGTG